AGATTCCAGAATGGGATGAGGCAATAAGAGAATAACTCTTAATTTTGTATTAAAAATAAATGTAATCACTTTGGAGTTTTAGTCAGGGTCATTACATAAATTTATTAAGTGCCATTGGATAAAACACAGACCACCCAGATGACATTTTTGAGGGTTCACCTATGGGTCTAGGGGATTATCTGGAGAGTACAGGTGGTAATGTATGAGGGTACTGCTCTGGTGACACTACCTGAAGGTTGGGGGACAGTGGGGCAGTGTCTGGGGGCATCATCCGAAAATGTACTTTCTGAATTATGAAGGCATTATGGAAGTCACATGACAGGAATTTAGAAAGAGAAGAAAAATGTCAGCCATAATCCCACCATAATTCCATCATTCTTGTCACTTCAGTTGCCATCACAGTGTTTGTGCAATTGTTTAACCTGCTTTTTTCCTGTTGGCGTGAGCATTTTTATGCTGCTCATAGTCTTCACAACCATGACCATTAATAGCAACACGACACGAATGTACTTTGTATAAAATGAGCAGACTTGGCATGGGGAGGGCAAAATTGACATTTTTGTCAATAAAATACTAATGTGAATGAAAAGTCCTGAACCTGATGCCATCTACCAGCCGACCTGATTTTTAAGTCATCACCTGTTCCTGAATTCTTCATGGCCATGCTCTTCCTGCCTATTGTGATCTGTGTCCAGATCTGTTGCTTCAAGATGGGAGTGTGCAAGGCATAGAAAGTAAAGCTGGAATGAGATAGAGTCCCTGCAAATTGTCTGGATGTCTAGATTGGTTCTCCACTAGAGGCACCCACCCACTGAGTGAATATTTGGCAATGTTGGGAGAAATTTATGGTTATTACAACTTGGGGTGGGAGAGGGGTGTTGCTGGCATCTAGGGGGCAAAGGCCAGGGATACTGCTAAACTTCCTACAGTGCACAGGACACCCCCACAACCAAGAATCATCCCATCCAAAACATCAGTAGTGTCAAGATTGAGACACCCTGATCTAGACTGGAGTGGAATTTCATTTAAAATGTTAATGGCGGCCAGGTGCAGTGGCTCACGCCTGTAATCCCAGCATTTTGAGAGGCCGAGGCAGGCGGATCACCTGAGGTCAGGAGTTCAAGACCAGCCTGGCCAACATGGTAAAACCCCGTTTCTACTAAAAATACAAAAATTAGCTGGGTGTGGTGGCGTTCGCCTGTAATCCCAGCTACTCGGGAGGCTGAGGCAAGATAATTGCTTGAACCTGGGAGGCGGAGATTGCAGTGAGCCGAGATTGCGCCTCTGCACTCCAGCCTGGGTGACAGAGGGAGACTGAGTCTCCACATTAATTAATTAATTAATTAAGATATAGTAAAATGCTAATGAAGCCAGGCAAAGTGGCTCATGCCTATAATCCCAGCACTTTGGGGGACCAAGGCAGTTGGATCACTGGAGGCCAACAGTTCAAGACCAGCCTGGGTAACATGTTGAAAGCCCATCTGTACCAAAAATACAAAAAGATTAGCTGGGCATGGTGGTGGCTGCCTGTAATCCCAGCTACTCCAGAGGCTGAGGCACGAGAATCTTTTGAACCTGAAAGGTGGAGGTTACAGTGAGCTGAGATCTCGCCACTGCACTCCAGCCTGGGCAACAGAGCGAGACTTTGTCTCAAAAATAAATAAATAATAAAATGTTAATGGATGAGCACACCCTAAGTTTTGTTTTCTGCCCTTGTTTCATTTGGGAAGAATTCTGATTTTATTTTTTTGTTTTTTTGCTAAGGATTATGAGAATGAATTATAACAGGTTTGCAAAGGACTTGAAATATAGCACGAGGCAAAAGAATGCAGAGGTTAAACATAAAGACTTTGGAGTTTGAAATAATTTCATGGTTGAAATCCTGGACCACTGAGTAAACTTTCTAAGGCCTGCAAAATGGGATGACACCTGCTTCCTAGTGCCACGGCAGGGACCAAATGAGGTCATGCGTGTGAAGCACCCAGCACACTGCCTGGTGGGGAGGGAGAGTGCCATGAACGGTGGCAGGGGGGATTATTGTGCCAAAGTTCAGGTTCACAGAGTTTATCACTTCCCTAGCCTCTAAACTGCAGTTGCATTTGGTAAATTCTTATTTCAGGAAAAATAGGTTTTAACTGATTTTTGTGATCTGGGCTTTTGAGATCTAGGCAATGTAGAACAGATATCTGACCTACGTAAATTTTATAGTATGAACTTTTTGGGTGTGAGTTGTCTAACTGAAATATCTAGTATATTTTTCTGGTGATCTTTCTTTTAAATAGCTTATTGTGTATTCTCAATTAAGAATTCCTGGGTTTTGGCTGGGCGCGGTGGCTCACACCTGTAATCCCAGCACTTTGGGAGGCCGAGGCAGGCGGACCACGAGGTCAAGAGAGCAAGACCAGCCTGGCCAACATGGTGAAACCCTGTCTCTACTAAAAATACAAAAAATTAGCGGGGCGTGGTGGCAGGCTCCTGTAATCCCAGCTACCTGGGAGGCTAAGGCAGGAGAATCACTTGAATCCAGGAGACAGACGTTGCAGTGAGCCAAGATCGCGCCATTGCACTCCAGCCTGGGCAAAAAGAGCAAAACTCTGTCTCAAAAAAAAAAAAAAAAAAAAAAAAATTCCTGGGTTTTTGTTTGTTTGTTTTTAACATTCTTCATTGGTTATTTTGTATCTATTGAGAATTTAAGAGTGGACCAAGTTAAGGTAAAGATTGCTGTGTATCTGGACAAAATTATTGTTCACAGATACGATAAGAATCTTCAGTGCAGTGTAAGGAGATCTTTTATCCCCCATCCTGAGCTAAGTGTCTGATTATCAAAAAGCAGGAGAAGGGCCCAGTGTAGCTTGAAGGCTGGCAATCACTTTATGTTCTACAGCTTGTTCTTGTGTGTCTGAGAATCCATGAGGGGCATTGAACATCCCTTATGAAAAGCATCCTGGGCTTCCTGGGGGAGGCACAGTGTTGAGTCCCAGTAGATGGAAAGGGCACACCCAGGACAGCCTGGTGCAGGGGCCATTGCTGGAGGCTGACATGGGCACATTGAACAGGCAAGGGTGGAGAGGGTAGGGTGGGACATGCAGGAATTCTGGCCTCCAAAGAAGAAAGAGGAGAAAGGAGATCCACAGGGTAAGAGCTGCTCCTGACACGGCAAACACTGGTCCTGGAGAAGGAAGATGCAGCCAAAGAGCACAGGGGTGCAGAAAGGGGGACTTGGGGATTAAGCCTGTTTTTGCCTTTGGAAAGCTGACTCATAGCAGAATATTCACAGCCCTTCCAAGCCGGCATGTTCCTCCTTTCGCTCCTCCTCTCATCCACCCTCAGCATTGTCATGAGGCTCCGTGCTGTTTTTATGAGTTCCTGGATGCTTTGGATCCCCTGGGAGTCCTGGCTGGGAAAGACCACTTCTTTCTTCTTCAGCTGGCCTGTGCTTTGGGGCCCACTGCAGCCCCTGGAGGAGGGCAGAGGAGCACCCATGTGTCATCTTCATTCATGGCCTTGATCTATCACATTTCATTGTCTTTTTGTGAGCCATTTCTCTTCTCCCCAGAACTTTCAGTGAGCTGAAAAGATAACGGATATGCAATAATTGGTTTGGGTTCTATAAATAGTGTAGAAGAAGAAAAGGGAGAGGGTTATAATAAAAAACAATGTGTGGGAACGTAGTTATTGAAAAAGTGTGAAAATCGGGGGTTGAGAGAAGGGACAAAAGTGAAGCAAACGGCGGAAGAAAGACAATGTGTCTGCAATGCAGCCTTGGTGGGATGAGGCGAAGTCAAAACCAGCAGGCCTTGGAACACGCTCCTGAGATGAGGAGGAAGCACTGAGGGAGCCCGGCCAGAGGATCCTGAAAGTTTTGCATTAGCCTGGGGCCTTCTAAGCTGTAAAACTACAGATCACATAGGATGTTTGGGGAGCGTTAAAGCATCTTTCAGGAATTCCCAAAAGTTGTTGGAAGATTTGTGTGTATTGGAAATTTGTGGTTTTTCTAGGATGAGGGTACAGAACCACCCGCGTTAGTCCATTTGTGCTGCTCTAACAAAATACCCAAGACTGAGTACTTTATGAAGAACAGAAATTTACTTCTCACAGTTCTGGAAGCTGGGAAGTCCAAGGTCAAAGTAGCAGCATTTTCCTCACTGGTAAGGGCCGCTCTCTGCTTCCGAGATGATCCTTTGTTGTTGCACCCTCTGGAAGGGGAAAAGCAGTGTCCCTGCAGAAGGAGGAAGGGCAAGCAAAGGAAGCTGAACACTGTGCAGTGTGAAGCCTCTTTTATAAGGACTTTAATCCCATTCGTGAGGAGTGGAGCCGTCATGACCTAATCACCTCTTAAAGACCCCGCCTCTGAATACCATCACATTGGCCATTAAGTTTCAACATCTGAGTTGTGGACGTGACATATTCAAACCAAAGCACCACCCAGGCGGCAGCTGCATGCAGAAGCCTAGATCATGAGAGGAGCTGGACCTCTAGACTGGGAGAGTGGTTAGCATGGAGGTGGTGGGGCAGGCCCTGTGTGGGTGGATGGTCCTGGATGGGTCCAGACTGAGAACAGAGCCTCAGATGACCCCTGGCAAACAAATAAGAGGCCCCAAGTGAAAGGGGATCCAGAAAGAGCTGGAAAGCTGAAAGGGAAAAACCTGGGAAAGAGTGTTATACAGCAACCGAGAGAAATGGGAGTTTCATAAAGAGAGAGTGAATAACAGATCAGATCATGTAAGAAAAGACCTACAGGGGTTTATTGGATGTCAGTAATGGTATGGTCAGTGGCGTCTGTGGTGGGAGCTGTTTCCCTGCAATGGTGTGGTAGGAAACCAGGTGGGGGTATGAAGGGAAATGCCAGGAGAAGGAAGGAGAGAGCTAGTGCCACCTGCTCTTTGAGAAGGTGAGCTTGGAAAAGGAAGCCTACAACACTTACTGGGAGTTGGAAGCAGGATCAAAGAGTTATTTTTCCTTGTCTGGTTTTTTTTTTTTTTTTTTTTCCAAAAACCCAGTCTTAGCACGGGTGCAGCCTGATGGAAAGAAGCCGGGACAGGCCAGGGGAGAAGGGTGCAGGAAAGAGAGTGGACAATGGTAGAACAAAGACCTGGAGCAGGCCATATGGAATGGGATGGAATGCAGAGCCCACGGTGCAGCTTTGTGCATCAGCCTGGAGGATGACAGTTGAGACAATTCATGCCTGGTAAGCTCTCTTCTCTGTGAAGTGGGAAGCGTGCTCAGTCCTGAAGGGACTGGGCCAGGGAAAGGGTGAATTGCCCAGGGAATTGGGGCGGGGTCTACGGGACTGAGCAAGCAGTTGCTACTGGAAACCATATGTTGGTGGCAGTTCCGGGTATCTTGCCTGGGCATTTTCTCCAGCAATGAGACTACCATGGATGCCCCATTCTACCAGCCGGGCTCCTCCTCCCAGCCTCCTGGGACCCAGCCCCTGCCTATCTATCCACTGCCCCTTCAAGAAAGTGTGCCATGCCAGGCAGGGTGTGTGTGTGTGTATGTGTGTGTGTCAACACCTGTCAACACCCCATTGCCTGAAATGAGTCCAGCCTCGTTTGAAAGTTCTCATCACGTTAACCCAAAACCCACTTCCCAGGCAGTCTGTGTTTTGGAGTCCTGATAACTTCCACAAAGCTGTTTTAATTCTACCTTCCAAAATCAGACCAATCTAGGTTTGAATCCTATTTCTGCCCCTCATTAACTCTCTGTCCCTGAGCAGAGTTTTCCATAACTGTTTTCCAGTTTCCTCAACTGTAAAATCAGAATAATAATACCATCTTATGAGGTCATTGAAGGATTAAATGAGAAGGCGTGTGAAGCATTTTGTACAATGTCTGGCTTATAGTGTGAGATCAATGCACGATCACCATAATAACAAAAAATTAGAGATGATCCCTAATGTTAATCTTATTAAGGTTAACAATAATTATAATCACAGTTCTGCAAATATCTGATGTCCGTGATGTTGCCATGAAACTCTGTTTTCTAGTTTAAAAGTCTCCAGTTCTTTTGACATTTTCTGCTGGGGAAGTTTTCAAACAGCAGCTCTGTTGGAGGGAAGTGGGTCCCACGTCTCTGGAGGAATGCAAGCAGAAAATGGAAGGTCACTCGGCAGGGATGGGACTGCAACTTGTGATTGAGGCTCCAGCTGGCAAATCCTAGGGTCCCTTCCCAGCCCTATGTCCTTCCAACCTTCTGACTTAAAAACAAGGTCAGAAAATGAAGTGTGCACTAAATGCTACTCAGTATCATAATAGTTATCACTGTCGAGGCCAGGGTTTTAATAGAAACGTCTATCTTCTAAACTCTAAAATTAATGGAGAGTGGTCTCATTAATCTACAAAACCTCAACAGCATCATACTTGATCCTAGAGCTGTAAAGGTATGTAAAGTGTTACTTTTCTGGATAAAAATAATAGCAACACTTGTATAGATAGTACTTATCCTTTAAGTTCTGCATATTTCACATGTATTAGTTTCCTTAGTCTTCATGAAAACCGATGAGGAAGGTACTGCTGTTATCCTCATTTTATAGAGGGGGAAACTGAGGCTCAAGAGGATGCATGACATTCTTTAGGCCACCGTGCTGGGGAGTGCCAGAGCAGCACTTGAACCCAAGCAATCTGGCTTCAGAATACTTTCTTGACCACTAAGCTATATTGCCTCTCTGGTGAGGATGGAAATTGTAAACATTTCCTTTTGAGATTTTGTTCCTTTTGCCAGAAAAGCTCAAGCCACTTAAACCAGAAATGAGTTCATTTTCTAGCTACAGTCTTTGAAACCACTTTGTTCAGCCCCCATACCACAGATGAGGATGCAGAGACCGGCTGAGTTTGGGCCTTGCCTGGAGCCCAGGTCTTTGGTTCTCTGCATAGTAGCTTCTCCACCCACCATGCTGTTGATCTTTGTCACTTCTCTTCAAGGGGTTGAATCCGTCCCCCGCTTGGGCATTGAGCCCCGTTTTCTGACCTTGCTGGGTGCTGACAGAGAGGGTCAAGGGAACACAGTTTCCCCATCTCAGAGACTGGTGTTTCTGGGCCACAGTCAACAGGCCTCATCTGAGCCTTTCCAGAGGAGTGGACTCAGTCCTGTTGGTGAGTAGACGCCCCTCTAACCGGGCACCTTGATTCAAACAGGCCCTTCCAGGCCACATGGGGTGGCCCTTTGCTGATCTGCCCCCAGCTTTATCTGTTTGTGCTGAAACCAAATAAACAATCTCGCCACTCAGGAAGGGTTAGGAGTAAATTGGGAAATCACTATCAGAGGAACAACTTGATTGGGAACAACTCCAGATGAGTAATTATGACTTCAAAGGGAATTCGCTGAGTTGCTGCAGCTTTGGAAGAGAGACTCTTCACGTGTAAACGGGGCCATCTCACAGCTTTGAGTCTAATAATTTAATTAGCCCCATAGATAGTTAGACGTTATCAAAGCCAGTGCAGCATGTCAAATAGACAGTTTTACAGTCGCCGTGCGGGCGCCTTCATGATCCGTGTTTGTGAATACCAGCCATCCTGAGCTGTCTGCAGAGGCTGCAGTGCTGATCAGGGCTCCCCAGGGCTGCACCAGAAACCCTCTTAGCATCTCACCAGGTACCTGTTTTCCATCTGATCTGAACTGGGAAAACTCTGCAGTTCAGCTCTCAAATTTTAAAAATTAGTTTTATTCATTTGACTGTTTTCGAACATTTTAAACATACACAAATATAGAGAGAAGGGTCATGAAGCCCCATGGACTCCAACATTCAGCTTCAATCATTGTCCACATTTTTTCCCGCTGTTTTTTGTTTCCTCTGGCCTTCCCTGCCCCCCAAAACAATTCTATTTAATTGCTTGTTGGTTTTTGCTGAAGTATTTTAAAGCAAATTCCTGAAGACATATCATGTCATCCGTAAATACTTCAGGATTGATCTCTAACCAACAAGTCCTTTAATAAAAACGTAACGTGCCAGGTGTGGTGGCTCATGCCTGTAATCCCAGCACTTTAGGAGGCCAAAGTGGGAGGATCATGAAACCAGCTCAACGGTTCCATAGAACTGATGTTTATGGTTTCTTTAAATAAACACATAAATTAATCCTCCCAGTCTTTTTGTTTTTGTTTTTGTTTTTGTTTTTTTTGAGACAGGTTTCTCTTCTCTGTCATCCAGGCTGGAGTACAGTGGCACAAATGTGGCTCACTGCAGCTTTGACCTCCCAGACTCAAGGGATCCTCCCACCTCAGTCTCCCAAGTAGCTGGGACTACAGGCACTCACCACCATGCCCAGCTACTTTTTGTAATTTTTTGTGGACACGGGGTTTCACCATGTTGCCCAGACTGGTCTCAAACTCCTGAGTTCAAGCAACCCACCTGCCTCAGCCTCCCACAGTGCTGAGATTACAGGCCTGAGTCACCATGCCTGGCTGGGCCCTCCCAGTCTTAAAACTTGAGAAAGTTACATTTGTCTTATCTGAGTTTCATTCTCAAGAAACCAACCATCAAACCTCCCAGATGGTATCAAGGAGCTGAAATGTACCAGATCACTGCGTCCTGACAATAAGACATCAGACCCTTCACCCCTCATGATTACCTACCTGACCACCTGCTTCCTGTTAACCAACTTCTCTTCCTTACCCCTCCCTAATTCCTGTTTCCCCACACACGGTTAAATTTCTTCCCTGCTATATAGACCCCTAATTTTAGTCAGTCAGGGAGATGGGTTTGAGACTGGCCTCCCATTTCCTTGGTGGCAGCACCTGATTAAAGCCTTCTTCCCTGGCAGTACTCATTGTCTCAGTGATTGGCTTTCTGTGCAGCAAGTGGCAGGACCTAGACCAAACCCCTGGCATTTGGTAACAATCACTTGAGGCCAGGAGTTTGAGACCACCCTGAGCAACACAGCAAGACCTTGTCTCTGTATATTTTTTTAAAAGTATTTATCACAGCTACCACTACCCAGAACTCCTTAACATCATCTAATATCCTGTCTGAGTTCAATCTTTCCCAGTTGTCTCAAAAAAATGCCTTTTAACAGTTGGTTTATTTGAATAGAATCCAAATAAGCTCCACACATTGCCTGCCTTTCTTCTTTCCTTCCTTCCTTCCTTCCTTCCTTCCTTTCCTTCCTTCCTTCCTTCTTTCTCTCTTTCTCTCTTCCTTCCTTCCTTCCTTCCTTTCCTCCCTCCCTCCCTCCCTCCTTTCTTTCTTTCTTTCTTTCTTTCTTTCTTTCTTTCTTTCTTTCTTTCTTTCCTTTCTTTCTTTCTTTCTTTCTTTCTTTCTTTCTGTCTCTCTTTCTCTCTTTCTCTCTTTCTCTCTTTCTTCCTTCCTTTCTTCCTTCCTTCCTTTCTCTCTCTCTCTCTTTCTTTCTTTCTTTCTTTCTTTCTTTCTTTCTTTCTTTCTTTCTTTCTTTCTTTCTTTCTTGCATTTCCTAAATGCTTGTTAAATCTGTAACAACTTCCCCTCCCCAACCCACCTGCATTTTCATGCCATGTATTTGTTGAAAAGCAAAGTAATTTGTCCTGTAGTTTCCCTCACTCTAGGTTTGGCTAAATGCATCTTTATGACAGTTAACGTGTTCCATTTATTTAAATTTATGTTTACCATAAAATGAAGAGACTCAATTGAGTCAGGTTTGGTTATTTATTTGCAAGAATTCTCCATAGGCAGTTCTGGGTTGTCTCCATCATGTCACCTCAGAAGGCACATGGTATCTGGTAGACTCAGTCTTTGAAATTCAGATTGATCAGGGGCTTCAGATGATATCAGCCTGATCCATCCATGCTGAAGTCACCATCATTGCTTGCATCTGTTCCTTTATCAGGGTTTGCCCAGTCTGGTTCTAATAAGTCAACCAGACTTACTTTTGCCTTTAAAGGATAATAAACTTAAGTTCCTATTAGTTGTGATAGTTCATTTCTAGCATCAGGGTTCTTTTGCTTTATAAATTCTGTATGCCATTTTAAATGCCCTTGCTCCTGTTCAGAAATGTTCCCCCTTGGGAGAGCAACTTTGACTTCTCTCCTTCCCTGGGGCTGGTGAGCTGAGACCTCCATTTGGGGAGTTTTGCATTATATCAAGGCTAACTCCACAGCACCACCACCAATCCCAAGCGATTTTGTTAGAAAATCAAATTTTTTGATTGTTTGATTTCCTTTTTTCCTTTTTCTTTCCATTCCTCCCTCTGTTGTTTTAGATTGATGAGACAAAGAGTATTTCCACAGAAAGTCTGAATCCTTGGGTTTCTCATGTCTTGACCCACAGTTCAAGTTGACATTTGTTGGGTACATCCGTGTGCTCAGCTCTGTGCAAAGCATGTTCTCTGTATGTTCTTGCTTGATCACCACAACATCCGTGTGATGTAGGGTGTTCTCACTAGCCCTGTTTTTCCAGTGGAAAAGCTGAGATTCTGAGCGATTCACACTCTAGAGCCCATGCTCTTAGCCACCATGTCACTGTTTCCCAGGCTATGCTGGGGGCTAGGGGCTTTGTAGAGCTGTGTTTGCCTGTTTTCCAGGAATGTTTACTCTTGGTTACAGGAAACTAATTCAGAGGTCATGAGGGCTGCAGAGACAGTGAGGAGTCAGAGCGCCCAGCACTTAAGCTCTTAATAATAAAAATGTGTTGAATGAATGAACTCAGTTATTTAGTTGTTTTGATCCTTAATTTGTTTATATTTATTTATTTATTGAGACAGAGTCTCGCTCTGTTGCCCAGCCTGGAGTGCAGTGGTGTGATCTTGGCTCACTGCAACCTCTGCCGCCCGGGTTTAAGTTATTCTCTTGCCTCAGCCTCCTGAGTCACTAGGACTATAGACGTGCACCACCACGCCTAGCTAATTTTTGTATTTTTAGTAGAGATGGGGTTTCACCATGTTGGCCAGGTGGTCTTGAACTGCTGACCTCCGGTGATCCACCCACCTCAGCCTCCCAAAGAGCTGGGATTACAGATGTGAGCCACTGCGCCTGGCCCTTAATTGGTTTATTTTTTTTTTTTTAATGGAGATTTTGAAAAGATCTTTTCAGGGTTGTTATAAGATTCAATGAGATGCCAGCACAAAATAGGTGCTGGGTAACTGGAAGCTATCATCATATGAACAATTTTAAAAAACAGATAATCTCAATTATCCCTATATTTAGCTTTGGAACTGAATTGCTATGGTCTGAATGTTTGTGCCCAAATTCATATGTTAAAATCCTAGTCCCCAAGGCGATGGTATTAGCAGGTAGGGCTTTTGGGAGGTGATTAGGTCACGGTGATTGGTAATTACAATCAGTGCTCTTAGTAAAAGATACTCCAGAGAGCTAGCTAGCCCCTTCCACCATGTGAGGTTACAGCAAAAGGCAACTGTCTAGGAAGTGGGCCCTCACCAGGCATCAAATCTGCCAGAGTTC